CACACGTGTGAGAATTGCTGATGTACAATAAATTACTGTACACCCGGGGCACAAAAAAGGTTTTGTTATTTTATTTTCTAGTATAATTAATTCACTGAGCAACCTACTCACCATTTTCAATGAAAGTCTCTTTTCCCAAAACTCCTATCACACTTCTAATCTCTAGAATTTATTTGAAGGAAAAAGAAAACAATTCTCATCTATCTGTATTTTTTTTTTAAAACCATTAATCTGTATTTTTTGATCTGATGGTAAAAAAAACAACTCTATTTCTAACCATTATAATACCTCAATTAATGAATTAATCTACACCAACATTAATTCGTTTTAATCGAAAATAGCACTGGATATACGGAGTACCAAGTGCGAATTATCAGCGTTTCCCGACGGGGTTAACTCTTCCCCTCTTTTCTTTTCTTTTCAATAGGGTTTTCGTTTTAATTTCGACGCCGAAGCTGTCGGAAAAATCACCGGCGCAGAATCGGAGAAGATGTTTAGAATTGGGTTGGGTGGGTAACAATTTTGGGATGATGGGATTTTTCTTGCAATGGAGAAAGAAAGTTGCTGGAGAAAATTGATGGGGTTAGTGTCTTCTTAGTAAAGACGTGAAGTTGCCGAAGTTGTTAAAGGATGAAATTGTACAGAAAAAAGGGAGTTAAGCACAAATTTGGGTACTCAATTCTACAATTTTTCACCGTTTGGGTACTGAATTTATTTTCTTACTGTTTGGGTAATGAGTACCAATTTCCGGCAAAAAAAATTAATTCTCCCCAACAATTGAGTACCTAAGGTTAACAATTGAGTACCTTTGACTTAACTCAACGTGGGCGCACCCGAATAAAAAAAGAGCGGGTCGGATTCTTTTTTCCCCCTTTTCTTATTCTTTCTGGCAAATTCTTCACTCTATTATAGCGGACTATCAAAATCTCCAAATTCGCAAGGTTCCCAATCGCCTCAGGAAGAGAATTCAACCGATTGAAATTTACTTGCAACACCACCAGAGACATACACGAGCCAATTGCACTAGGGAGCTCTTCGAGTTCATTTTCGTCAAGATTCAACTTCTCCAATGAGCTTAGGTTGCCAATTGAATCAGGCGATTGGGTAAAGAAATTAGAGCTCAAATCAAGATTGACTAAGGTCTTGTTTGGTTGCCTTTAGTTTTCATGGACATTCAAAATTCCCATGAATTTCCTTTTGGGTATGTTGTTTGGTTGATATTAAAAAGCAAAAATGGGGGAAGTCATAGTTCATGGGAATTTTCATTTCCCACAAAACATAGGAAGTTACTTACCCACCCATCCCTTGGTCATTCACAATTCCCATGATTTATAAATTCTCACATGACAACCAAACATATTTATGTAATTCTTAAGAATTTTAATAAAGAAAGTAATTTCCAATGAATTAGAATTTCCCATGGGAATTTACTTCCTACATCAATCAAACTAGCCCTAAACCTACTAACTTCTCAAAGGAAGTTGGCAAAGATTTCCGCCTATTCCCACAAAGATCAAGGTCAGTCAGACTTGTAAGCTCTCCAATTGATCTCGAAAGGTTTATTAGTTGATTCGAGTGGATGTCAAACTTCTTCAATGCCTTGAGCTCACCAACATCTGATGGAAGAGCCATAATTTCGTTCTTCGATAAGTCAATTTCAGTTAAATTTGACAATTTCACAAGTGACAAAGGAAGCCACTCAACTTCAGCCATTAGCCTTCCTTGAAGATCAAGGACTGATGCACTAGTTTTATCATAATTTTCGAAAAGAGTAGCTACCTCCATCAAACTCATCTTCTTTGTGCATCCTCTCCTGTAAAAATTCAAATCAAACCTTAACATTCTCAAACAATCAAATCAAACTATATGATAAAATATCCATTGTAGAATTTGTAATTCTCACATTGGAATTCAAGATTAGACATCATCATTTTAATTAAATTAATTTTTTAATTAGGTATGGTTAGTGGTGAGTTAATTAGCTTGAAAATAAGTTAGAGTACCTAAAAGGTGAACAAAAAAAATTGAGTATCCAAAAGGTGAAAAATTGAAGAATTGAGTACCTAATTGTTTTCTTAACTCGAAAAAAGGAGTTGTGGGCAATTACTGTAACAAAGTTTGTTTATTTTTATTTTTTAAAAAAAATTGTTTATTTTGAAAAAGTAAATCTGTTAATAAATGGATGAAGACTCTGACGAGGAGTAACCTGCTGCTGGTGTATGGATTCTCTAGTTTAGTTGTTGTCTTTCACTTTGTTTTTATTGCTTTTCGAAGGGGCACAGTGTTTTTAGTAGTAAGACCATTAATTTTTCATCTTGTATATGGTCTTATGGCTTCAGCTATTTACCAACCTCACATTTTGATGTGCGGAATGAGGTTGGGTCTTTTAATTGTAAAACTCTAATTACGTACTAACTCCGGTCCACATTTGTTGCAACTTTTGCCATTTTGAGGTGGTCCATATTAGTTGCAACTTTCCCAAATATTGCCTTATTTAGTAAAATTTTATAGGTAAAATTACAATTTTACCCTTACTTTATATTTTAACCACTTATATTAAACAACTAACCTAATCTATTTACACTTCCTAACTGATTAATTATGTTAATCTCTCCCACCAAAAAAAATCCCCAACTGTTTAAATTCTTCATCATCCCAACCAACGCAATTGAATGCTCCTACATTCAATTGATCTGATGAATATGGTTGAGTACATTTATTCTAGAGAATTCTCCAGAATAAAACCCCCCCAAACCCTATTTCTTCTTTTTCTCACTCCTCACTATTCGCCGAATTTGATCTCCTCTCTCTCTCTAGATCGTACTTTGTGTCTCTCTCATCTCTATCTCTACTTTCTCCCTTCTTCAATATTTGTTATTTTTGTTGAGTCCCAGTATGTCTTCTTCGAATGACAAAGATCTGGATCTTCTTTGCCATGCGACCCTTGAAACGAGTGGAAGTAAGCGGCGATCTGGCCGTGTAACGTACAAGCCCCAACGAGGAACGTGTAACATGAAACCCGTTCGTCGTGCTGCTGTTATTGCTAGGAGGAAGATCCATGGTGCTAAATTAGTTGAATATGTGAGCGATGAGGAGGAGAAGGTTGTCCCTGTGTCTACGGCTAAACAGGAACCACCAGTTGAGGTGGTTCCTCTGGCCGTGGTGGTGCCTGAGGTGGCGGCTGAAGTTGTTGAGGCCCAGCTTTCCGCCGCTGGATCTGGTACTGGGGAGTCTAATCCAGTAGAGGTGGAGGTGGCTGAGGTGGCTAAGCCACCTGAGTCCCAGGAAGAAGGTGAAGGGCCTTCCACCGGTGCTAAGCGGATCAGATCTGGTCCACTGGAGGGATGGCGAGGGAGGAGGTGATCGAGGCGTACCTACAGATCTACTACCCTCAATTTAAGCCTCCTCCTAACTGATTCAGCAGCGTAAACTCTATAAACCCTAATTTTTTTCTTTAATCTGTTGTTTGTTTGTTTTGTAATCTTGTTTATTGTGTTGTTGGTATATTGTTTCATCTGTTGTTTGGTATAGACCCTAATTTTGTTTTTGGTTGTGGTATGTGTTATAAACCCTAAATTTTTGAGTCCTCTGTTTTGTTGGTTTAAACCCTACTTTGTATGCGATTGGATATGGTTGTTGATGTGAATGTAATGTTGGATGTTGTTGGGATAAGATGACTGTTTGTTGGGGAGAATTTATGCGGGGTTGTATGCTGTGTGTTTTCGGTTCTGTGTTTATTGGAATGTATCTATGTTAGTTGTTGTTGGTAATTGGTGGAACTAAGTTGTGGTAGTATCCCTGATGCATAGTACTCATGCCATCAGTTGCAAGTCCCCTGTTTATTAATGTTGAAGTTGGTGTTCCTATGCATTTGAGTCCCTTACTTGTAATGAGTCCCCCCATGTTGGTGTGAAGTGCATGTTTTATTTCCATATGATGATGGGACTCACTTGATAGCTACTTGGGTGGTCTGGATGCTCCTAATACCTCTTTTAGAAGTTTGATGTTGAGGTACCAACACTCCAGTGGCGGATCTAGGATTTCCGACTTGGTGAGTCACTATCAATTATTGATTACTTGTGAAAGTACAAATAATTTTTCCAAATCTTGTTCATAATTAATTTCAATCCAAAAATTATATATAAAAACAAAATTATAATTCACCAAATCGATTTCAATCTAAAATAGGACACAAAAATCCATAATACAACCAAATACTCCGTACTATTTAAAAATTCAATCTTACAAGTTGAAAATATTACAAATAACATGTTACAAACAAATAGTAATATAAAACAATTACATTAACTTTATGATTTTTTACTTAGATTTGTGGGAAAATATTGAAATTGGTTGCACAAATAATATAGGATATAAAATTATAAATAGAAGCAAAAATTATTAATAATTATTAAGTAAAAAAATGAGATAACTTAAGAGACCTGTTATTAAGTATAACCGGTCTCTTTAATGAAGAAAGAAAGCAGCTCTAAAATGTGAAATGCAATAGCAGCATCAAAGAGACCACTTACCTTAATAGTTGGTCTCTTTGATATTTTTATAAAAGGAAACCTGCGTCAGCTCTGTTAGCAGCATCAAAGAGACCGCCTCTCTACAATAAGCGGTCTCTTTGATATTTTTTTTTAAAAAAAAAAAATCAAATTTTTTTGGTGCTGCTGAGTCACGTGACTCAGTATGCACCAACACAGATCCGCCACTACAACACTCACTAAAGCTTTGACTAAATAAACACCCATTCTGATGGAAATACTAGTTAATGATATAAATGTAATTGTTGTGATATTACATGTGTGGTTAGACAAAAGGTTTACCCTAGACTAATTACATGACTGCCTACAACATATGTCAATTAATATTTACCAAAATGACACATAACCTAGACATAAACTCACTCAAAAAGTTGTTTGAATATTAAAATGTTATGTGTGGCAGTCATATCTTGAGTCCTTCTTCCATTTGCATTCTTGTGTTTGTGTGCTTCAGTCTGCATCCACTTTCATGTGTCCATGATCATCTACTATATCTGTGATTGAGTCTAAAAATTGAACAACTTCACCAATCAGATTCCTATCAACTTGTAATGATTGTGGTAGTAGACCTTGACTGTCCAAACTTCTCTTCTTCATGTGAGGGGGAGAGATGTTGTTCCCACCTTGCTTCTCTAGTATCTTTATCAAGCATGATTGTAGTGTAATCCATGTGTACTTGTTCAAAACTGGATCAAGCTCTTCAAAAGCTCTTGCAACTTCTTGTATGAGCTCATCTAGATTCCTTGGGAATGATTGGTATTGTAGTGATTGAATGACACTAAACAAACCCAAATCAAGAACATTTGTTTCTAGTGATTGAGCTGGTTGAAAAATGAATTCAATGTTGAATCCATATGCATTACATGCTGCATGAAATTCTTCATCTCTTGGAACTTGGTGAGGTCTTGCATTATCCCATTGGATGATGATGTCCTTTGGTAGTTGTTCTGGCCACTTCTCATAGATTGTTGGAATGACATGTGTGAGTAGCATATCCCTGATGCATTCTTTAGTGACACTTTGAAATGCCTTAGTCTCTAGAGTCCCTACATCTCTGTTTTTGCTTTTTTTTTTTTTTTTTTTTTTTTTTTTTTTTTTTTTTGCCATTTCATACTTTACAAAAGGAAAAAGCCCATATTTTCCATCACGTACCATGTTGGTGTGATCATCAAATAAGGGCTTCCCAATCATTCCCATGAACATTGCTTTGATCTTAAATCTCCTTGATTGCTGTGCCCTGTATGGATCATCCTCTGTGGGCAGCAAATAAAACGTCCTTGCCTCTGGATTAATGTAGAACCATTTTTCATCCAAATGTATCCATTGCTGCATGTCTCTGAAGTTTGGGTCCCCTTGTGCTGGAATTGGATCAATGTGACTTAGTACCCATTTAAGTCTTGATATTTTATGCTTCTCTGTTAGAGCTGGATGAATTGTGTTGGTGTGTGTCCTGAGTCTCCCTTGTTGCCTTAGTCTGTGCAGTGCTGTTTTGGGAATTTTAAGGGCTGCAGCATATCCTCTTTCAGTCCCTCTCTTGTAGAGTGGAACTGAAGTTAGAAATTCATCTGTGTACACCTTTGGTTTGGGTTCTGTCCTACCCAATTTTTTGTTTTCAACAACAACTGGAATACCTTGAGCTAGAGATTGCTTGATAAATTTGAAATATCTTGTTGTTGTGGATTTGTACACTGAATGTTTTCTAGCCAAATTAGCTAAGAAACCTCTTGGCAATGAGTCCCCCTCCATGTGCAACATTATCTCATCAACAAGATTTCTTTTTTGTTCCACAGTCAATTCCTTGTTTACTCTGTTTTGTGGTTGTGCCTCATCAATGTTTGCATCATCATCTCCTTCATACCCATCACCATTGCCTTGCTATTCTTGGTGTTCTTCACCATCTGAATCGTACCACCATGGATATTCTTCTGGGAAGAATTCACCTTCTATGAACTCATCATCCAATGCATGCTGAGATTGAATGTACTCATCCATAACTTCATCTATGAACTCTGCAATGAGTCCCTTTCTGTTTTTTTATTTCAGGATGGCTTTTTGGTGATGAAGTGGTGGCTGGTTTTTTTTGGACGGTTTTCAACGGATCCTATTCCTGTAATTACAAAAGCTGCAACTACTTTCCCAGCTGTAGGAATTAGGTTAATGCTAATTTTGGATTAGAATGATGTAATTTGGTAGGGCTGCCTGTTATTTTGAACTAACAATACTTAATTTGTGGTGATGTAACCTAACTACTCTATTAACCCCCCACCCCACCCCCCAAACCCCTCCCCAATTCCCCTAATACTGTGCTTTTGATAAGGGGTTTTGGAAAGGATGCCTTCCTTTTATAAGGGGCATTTTGATTGAATGTCTATGAAAAATTTGAATTTTGGGGGAAGTTGAAAAATGTTTGAATTTGGGGTGAAAATTTGGGAGGGAAACAAAGTGGGAAACATTTTTCCCACTTTTGTTTAAGCTGCCAGACTGTCTTGGTGGGAAATTCCCACTAAAAATCAAAATGTTTAAGTGGTCTAAAAAAGTCAAATAAAGGGACCACTTTTATTCCCTCCATATTACTACGCTAATTACTTTACCTTACTTTTTCTAATCAATCTCTTAAAAGTTTTGCCTCGGCCTTCGCAACTACCTCCAAAGTTGCAACAAATGTGGACTGGAGGTAGTAATATATTTCATTTTTATGTGTAAAAAAAAACAAAAGTATAAAAGATACAAAATTTGTTTCAGGAGTTAAAGTATCAGTCTTGTATTCTTGCCTCTGCCCGTTAGCAATAATGCCCATTCTTCATTTTAATTTAGGTTGCGGTAAGAAACTGCTATTATTTCACTAATTCCACGCTAGTACTGGTGATTTGAATTCTTGAGCTAAAATCTACATGATATGCCTGTAACTACTAATAAAAATATTATTTTAATTAAGTTTATTAATAGGCTTAATAGATCATATCACATAATTTTTCTTTTTACAATTTTTTTTTTATTTTTGCAAATATAATATTACAGTCATACCTACTAGAATTAGGTTGCCTTTTTCGCAGGGCTGGCAAACGGATCAGGTCGTGTCGGGTTCATATTCGGGTCAGTTAAAATTCGGGTCAAGTACCCCTAACCTAAACCTGATCCATTTAACTTTTCGGGTCAAAAATTTCAACCCTAACCTAATTTTTTCGGGTTCAGGTCAACCCGAATCTGACCTGATTTTTTTGGTCATTGATTTTTCGATTTTGAATTACCTCAAAATTTCAGATCTAAAATTTCTCATTTCAGTTTTTAATATTAGCATCTTAATTTATAGAGAAAATCATTGATAAAATAATCAAATTGATACCATCAACAAATTAAAAATGTAGATATATAAGCTACAATAAATTAGTAACCGAATTAAATTACAAATTTACAATACATAAGATCTAAAATAAAATGGGTCTCCAAGATCAATTATTTTTAGGAATATCCTTTAGTTATTGTTCACTTGATGACCTCCTGCTAACCTGCTTGTTGATGCGAGATCGGTCAAGCGATAGTGAAGCAACGAAGAAGTGAGGCTGATGAAGCAAATTAAAGAGAGAGCGATGATGCGACGGTGGTGGAGAAATGCCGAACAAGAATTAATGAGTAGGGTGAAACACCGCCATGAATGAGTAATGAGAGAGAAAGTGAAAGTAAGAGTGAAAGAGGCAGAGACTATATACTTAGGGTTAGGAAAACTTGGGCTGGCCTGGTGTATGTACGGCTGATAGACTAATTTAGGATATTAGGGTGTTACTGATCTATTAGGTGGGTTTGGTCGGTTATTTACTTTTTTTTTTTTTTTTTTTTTTTTTTTTTTTTTTTTTGGGATTATCAGATTTTTTTCGGGTTATGTGGGGTCAATTTCGGGTTGGGATTTTCAACCTTAACCTAATCCATTTAAATTTCAGGTCGGGTTCGTGTCAACCCATTTAAGTTTTCAGGTCGAAAACCTCAACCATAACCCGTTATTTTCAGGTCGGGTTTGGGTCGTGTTTTCGGGTCGGGTCAGCTTTTGCCAGCCCTACTTTTTCGTTCTTTGCAATTATCATGTAGTGGTATTGTGGTAATTCAACAAATTTTGGATTGCTGTTTTATAAGCTACTATTATTGGTAAAATGTGGTTTTTTTTTTTTTTGTACATTAACTTTCTTAGCTTAGTTATTTTACTCGGCTTGTACAGGACTTGTAATTTGTCTTTTTTGGAATTTCGTGGCTGTCACAATTGCTTGGATCAAAGGGAACGGTGTGTGAATGATATGGGCTTACACATTGGTTACTTAATTTGCTAAAAACCCTTAATTTTTATTTACTATAGTTGATATATTTGTTTCAGGAGTTAAAATTTGGCTGCTCGCAATCATTTATTTTATAGCAGGAGTTCCAGGGGCCTATGGCTTTTGGTACCGTCCTTTATATCGGGCTATGAGGTAAAAAAAATACCTATATTCTCTATAGTTGTTACTTCCTCCGTCTTCAATGGTTTGCTCCACTTGTTTTTTTTGTTTTGTTGTCTCTAAAAGATTGCCTCATACTATTTTTGACATCTTTTTCAATTTGCTCTCTCTCTCTATCTCTCTCCTCATTGATATTTGTGTCAACCCAAATGCACTATTTTTTGCCCAAAGTCTTAATAAAGTGATTTTTATGATTGGGGCAAATAATTAGGGACTGAGGGAGTATTCTAGGGAGTATTATTTACCACGGCTCATGAAAGAATATCGCACATGCATTCTACATTGTCTTGTCAAGATCATTATTAATAGATATAATTTCAAACATGATCTCTTAAGCCTCCGGGGTGCCTAACTCCTTAAAGGCCGCATGCCCTCGATTGTCTCCCATGTTTCCTTGTTGTTGGTCTTTCAAAGATACCTCTCTAGATTGACTTGAGTTAAAAGACCTTTATGTTGCTCTTCTCCTTCTAAGGGTTCTCTTAATCTCGTAATCAAAAGGTACTAAGGACCTATTAAGAACTCTATGGATAAAAACATACAGAAATGATTAGTAGCAAAATTCAAGTTTATCCTAAAGTAGGATATTTTTTTTTTTCTTGTATTTTCAATTAATGGAATAAGCTTAATCAATCAATACCAATCAAACAAAAATGCCTCTCCTGAACAATAGTGCCTTTTGAGATGCTAGAAATTAGGTCGTAAACTTACTCTTAGTAATCAAGTAAAATTTATACTTCGTAATAACTCAAGCTAAAACTAGTGATATTGATTTGATGGAGGTCGGTCCATAAGGTAATAAAATGAAAATTGAAACTGACTTATGATAAAGCTAAAACCGGAATCAAGTGTTGAAGGTTAATCTATGCTAAGTCAAAAATTAAATTAATCTAATTAGGGTGAATATGGAATCTAAAAGTGATAGGGAATTGAGATCCATATGCAATCCTGTTCATCAACAAATGGGGAATCAATCAATCAAAACTAGTGAAGTCTAAGCAATTAAAATTTATTTGATAACTATCTTCAAGCTATCTCACCCAAGATCTCTCCATTGGGGAAAAAACTAGAATATCACAATCAAATTAATCTAATTAAGGTGATCGCAACATAGGTTCCCACTTCAATCAATATCAGCAATGCAATATAATTATACTTACAATTAAGGGTAGCTAAGCTAGACCAATCCATGCAAGTAACATGCAAACCTTATCTAATCTATTTAATCTCATGGTAATTATTGATCAATTTCCAAATATCAAACTCAATTACCAATCAAGCATGCTTCATTCTATCCATATCTTAAAATCTACTTACTATTCATGATTAATTAAGCCAAATTCAATCCCAAAACTAATTAAGATTATCATCAACATTGTAATAATCTAAGGAATTAAGCAACTAACCAAATCACTAATCAAAGTATGAAAATTAACCATCAAAATTATCAAACAACAAAATTAAACCAAGGATTGAAAATAATAGAAAGAAATATAAATAAGCTTTTATTGCAAATTGAAATCAAACTTGAATCGATTGAAATTTGAAGAAAATAGTGTTTAATTCTACACTTTCTCTCTAAAATAGCTTAAAGTCAAAGTCCTAAAATGAGCTTAGTTAGTAATTACAAGAGGTAGAGCCTTTTTTACAGAAAAAGAGAAAAAGAAGATTAAAGATGGTTGTCGCACAAGAAAACGCGCACGTGGCCGAGCTACTACGCATTGAAAGTGGGTCATATTTTGCTCATGCGCGCATAACACGCACAAGCCTAGGGTATGTAGGTGCTTCGGGTATGAGCTCAGAGCAGGATAGCGTTCATGCGATTGTAGTGCGCGCGCGCCATGGCTCAGTGATGCCAGTTAGAAATATTTTACTCCAAATTGTCACTCTTGGTGAGTGCATGACAAGGCTCATGAGATATCTTTTGTATGTTTTCTTTAAAGACCTTTAGCTATACTCAAAGATTTCCAAAATCTATAGGAAGGACTTTAAATAAGGGTTCTAGCCTTAATCTAGTGCCTACACTAGTAGAAAAAACATTATGGGAAGCGGTTCAAACCCCCAAATGGGAAGCGGTTCTGAACCGCATGGGTTTAGGGGACTTCCCAATTGCCATGTAAATGGCAAGCGGTTCAGAACCGCTTCCCATTTGGGGGGAATGGCAAGCAGTTTGGCGCCAAAACCGCTTCCCATTTGTAATTTTTTTTTATTTATATATATATATAATAATTAATAATAATAATATTACTAGGGACCTGTTTTGATATGCACATTAATCTGTAATTTTTAAAATTATTATTATTATTAATATTATTATTAATTAATATTATTAATTAATATTAATAATTAATAATAATTAATTAAAAATATTACAAATTTTGGAATAACAATAATTCAATAACAATAAAATGCATAATAATAACTTAATATATATAAAACTCATAAATAATGTATAGTACTAATTACAAATAAGTAATATAATGTACATATGGATTTAATAAAAATAAAAAAGATATAGTAACTAAATATATATTAATTGTTCATAAATAAAAAAAAAAAATCAATCTCATTCATTATCTAACTAACACACATATATTATATATTCTACCTAGATGCCATCAAATGTCACAAAAAATCCCACATGTCACGAATTTCATCAACTTCTTCCTTTGTCAAAGGGACTTCCCTTTAAATCTTACAAACCTTTGAAAAGAAAAAAATACCAAACATTAAACATATCATTCATATATTACATAAAATTCAAACTAATAATTAAAAAATAATAATGTATATATGTTAAATATTTCAAACATCATTCTAACTTGGCCGATTTAGCATTCTACTAAGTTTTAGGACGGCTTTTACCAAAAATCGCCTATTTCACTACTACTTTGCCCGACTTCTACATTTCTTATCTAATGAGCTATTATCTATCATAACATGTCAATTACAACTAGTCTTAGGTGTTTAATGTTTAAAATCATAGAAAATTAGCATTCTACTAAGTTTTAGGACGACTTTGACCAAAAATCGCCTATTTCACTACTACTTTGCCCGTTTTCTACATTTCTTATCTACTGATCTATTTATCTATCATAACATGTCAATTAAAACTAGTCTTAGGTGTCTAATGTTTGAAATCATAGCAACTTAGCATTCTACTAAGTTTTAGGACGGCTTTTACCCGAAATCGCCTATTTCACTACTACTTTGCCCGTTTTCTACATTTCTTATCTAATGAGCTATTTATCTATAATAACATGTCAATTACAACTATTATTAGGTGTCTAATGTTTGAAATCATAGAAACTTAGCATTCTACTAAGTTTTAGGACGGCTTTTACCTGAAATCGCCTATTTCACTACTACTTTGCCCGTTTTCTACATTTCTTATCTAATCAGCTATTTATCTATCATAACATGTCAATTAAAACTAGTCTTTGGTGTGTAATGTTTGAAATCATAGCAACTTAGAATTCTACTAAGTTTTAGGACGGCTTTTACCCGTAATCGCCTATTTCACTACTACTTTGCCCGTTTTCTACATTTCTTATCTAATGAGATATTTATCTATCATAACATGTCAATTACAACTAGTCTTAGGTGTCTAATGTTTGAAATCATAGCAACTTAGCATTCTACTAAGTTTTAGGACGACTTTTACCAAAAATCGCCTATTTCACTACTACTTTGCCCGTTTTCTACATTTCTTATCTCATGAGCTATTTATCTATCATAAAATTTCAATTACAACTAGTCTTAGGTGTCTAATGTTTGAAATCATAGCAAATTAGCATTCTACTAAGTTTTAGGAAGGCTTTTACCAAAAATCGCCTATTTCACTACTACTTTGCCCGTTTTCTACATTTCCTATCTAATGAGCTATTTATCTATCATAACATGTCAATTACAACTATTCTTAGGTGTCTAATGTTTGAAATCATGGAAACTTAGCATTCTACTAAGTTTTAGGACGGCTTTTACCCGATATCGCCTATTTCACTACTACTTTGCCCGTTTTCTTCATTTCTTATCTAATAAGCTATTTATATATCATAACATGTCAATTACAACTAGTCTTAGGTGTTTAATGTTTGAAATCATAGCAACTTAGCATTCTAATAAGTTTTAGGACGACTTTTACCCGAAATCGCCTATTTCACTACTACTTTACCCGTTTTCTACATTTCTTATCTAATGAGCTATTTATCTATCATAACATGTCAATTACAACTAGTCTTAGGTGTCTAAAGTTTAAAATCATAACAACTTAGCATTCTACTAAGTTTTAGGACGACTTTTACCAAAAATCGCCTATTCCACTTCTACTTGCCCATTTTTTACATTTTTTTCCGTTTGGAATTTTTTTCACAAACATTGCCCATAATACACTAACAATGCAAGTACGCAAAAATTACACAAAATTGCATGAGCGACTCGGTTTCTTGAATGGCTGCTGCAGCTGCCTTGGGTGCTGCCTGGGCTGCTGCAGCAGTTTCCTTGGCAGCTGCCTGGTGGCTGCTGCAGCTGCCTGTGCAGCTCCCTGGTGGCTGTTGCAGCTTCCTGGTGGCTGTTGTAGCTGCTTGGTGGCTGTTGCAGCTGTCTGTGCAGCTCCTAGGCTGCTGCTGCATTGGCCTGGGCAGCTGCCTAGGCTGCTGCCGCGGCTGCCTGGCAGCTATTGCACTTTGGTGGCTGGCTGCTTGCAGCTGCCTGGCATAACCCGAGGCAGTTGCCTCGGGTGCTCACTGTAGGGAATAATTTCAAGCCTTTAAAAATCCCACTAGCTTGAACCCCACTGTATTCATACACTAAAGTACGGTGGCGTCTAAAAGGGAAGAAGATAGAGCAAAAGAGTCGCCAACAAGTTTTCTTAGGAACTTGTAAACCGTTCACGAGGTGAAGGTTACACCCCTTAACGATCCAAGAGATCGTCAACTCCATAAGGTCTAGAACCAAATAAGGGTTTGGGGAAGAAGGTACAAATCCAACCTAAAAGAGATTGAACCTGCCCTAATAATAGGCCTCTACTTTATTCTGATCGTATTCATGTGCGCTTTCTAATTAACATGCAATCAATAGGATTAACTCTAAACCTGTTTATCTATGTTGGTTGAATATTAATGCATAAATAAACTATTATTGGCGATCACTTGAAATTATAATCAAATTAACCCTAACAAGATTATTAAATATCTTATTAAGCGTGATTACAAGTACCAATTTCCTTTAAACATGCATAAAGGCATGATCAAGCAATAAATATAAATAAGCATCAAGCAACATAATAAATAATTATTATCATGACAATAAAATTATAATCATAACAATAATCATCATAGATAAAATAATCATCATCAAAATAATAATAATAATAATAATAATAATAATCATAATCATAAATTATAATAATTATAATCACAATCATGTTCACGTTAATATTAAAGCATAATAATAGCAAGATCCTAGGCATGATACTAACAAGATTAATAACAAACCCTAGCATGTCACTAAACAATGAAAATCAAATCTTTAACCCTAACATGATACTATTAATCACAAATATTAGGAAGAACATAGGAAACATTGTAACAATCATATTTAATATTAAAAATACCCTAGACATGATACTAGGAACATCATAATAACAATATAAACATGATTTCTACATCATAATATCAATTAATCAATTAAAGTACTTACTTTGATGCCTCGTACCTCTTTCTAATAACAAAATACACACGTTAGTAACTTCAAGGAAAATAATAATCAAAACAATCAAATTAAATAATTGAAAGAGAGATTTGAGACCAAACCCTTAGAAATTAAAACCTTTCACGTCTAGGGCGAAGGCAACTTCAAATATGGCTAGGAGTTTCTAGATCTTGTGAATGTGGAATTTTGTATGAAAAAGCAAAGGTTTAGAAAGAATTGAATGTTAGAAAGATGGATGATTTAGAGAATGCTAAAGAATTAATTATTGTTGATGAATGATGGATGTAGATGATGAATCTTGATGAATGAAAACGAAGTTTTAATACGATATTTATAGAGAAAATCAGCCAAAAGAGATAAATTAACAAAACAGAGTCTGACGCTCAGAAAACATAGCTGGCGCCAACCCTGGCTAGCTGGCGGCAGGCACCAGCACCAGCGCCAGGCGCCAAGGCCTGGGGTTGGATGCCAAGCTTAATTTCAACGCGTTTTTGAAAATCCGATAAGTTTACCGTACTACAGGATAAAATAATATAATTTCTTCGAAAATGCTATTTGATTTTGATTAAAACTCTGAAAAGTCATCAAAGTCAATTTATCAATGCTAATTGAATTAGGAATGAAAAGAAACTTCTAGAAGATTCTAGAAGACTAAAACCATTCCTAATTGCATTAGGAATGATAAATCATATTAGGCCCTCCCCTAGATCATTGGGTCGTACATAAAGCTCAAACCGGGCCCAGTTTGGTAAATTGACCATAACTTCCTCAATATTCATCGGAATTGGGCTTATAATATATCGTTGGAAAGGTCTTTGAAAGCCCCATCCAACTACACCACTATTGGACCCATATTAGGACCAACCAAACTGGATTGGCTGTTTTCTTAAAAATTTTCAAAAACAGAGAGAAGAGAAAAGAAAATAAAACTTTCCGCAACACTAGACCTTTCCACACTTTCGTTTCATTCGATTATGATTCGACGCGAAAGGTACTCATCACTGGGTTTGGTTTTGGGGAGACACAAATGGGTGTCTACATAATTCCCCACTTTGACTGAGTTTGTAGAAACGCAGGTTTCAAAAAACGAAAGCCAAAGTATCGATAGGGACGGAGAATGATTCAGTTCTGCGATCCTAAATCACTCTTGTAACGCCGATACCTGCAAACTAGCGTTAGTTAAACAGATAAAAGAGTTAAGAAACACGTATCTTGCACCGTCGAGCACACGTCTCTGAAAGTAACTGATTGTTTTGATGACCTCCTGCAAGCTAGAGAATGCCATCCCGCTTGAAAACCGCTACGCCTGTAACTGCTTCCAAATTTGGAAGATTGCTTCGCCTGAAATGATCCTCCCCGCAATGATAATAATCCGCGTCCAAGGGAATACCATCAAAGATTATTTCTCTTGAAACAATCTCCATCCCCATTGATAATATTCCACATCCTAGGGAATACCATCGAAGATAACTTCGCCTGAAATTACCTCCAGTTGTTTGTGACAACTTTCCGCAAGCTAGGGAATGCCACTTTGCTGCTTTGACGTTCTGAACAAAGAGTTTCTTTTTCCTGCTGTGATAGTCTTCGAAAAGATCACTGCTTTTTAATGTTTGCTATGCCAGTATGTTGGCGCTTTGCTACTTGTGAACCAGTATGTCGGTGATTTTGCTGTGATGACAATCCTCTTTTGTTTGGGAATAGTTGCCAACACAACTCTTGTATGATGTATGACAATCCGATTTAGGGAAAGTTGTCAATGCTTCGTAACAATCCATCATTGGAAATGTTTCCACGATGAAGCGACAATTCGTATCTCGGAAAATTCGCCAAAATCCAATTTTTGGGAAAAGTTGCCAATGCTTCGCAACAATCTTTCATAAGAATTTTGCTACGATCGACAATCCACATCTTGGAATATAACTCTTGAAAGCAATCCACCTTGGAAATTCTCCAACGCTATGCGACAATCCTTTTAGGAAAATACTGCCACAATTGACAATCCGCGTCTTGGAACATTTGCAAAAAAAAGAGTCGACCGACAATCCACTTCGGGAAAATTTGCCACTTACTGAAATGAATGACAATCCACATTGAGGAACCTTTGCCAAAATTTATGATGAATAGAGACCTACAACAATCCTTTAGGAAATTTTTCCATAGGGAACTGGGTGTATGACAATCCAATCTCGGAAAACTTGCCAAAGATCTATGAATGTATGACAATCCGAACTTGGAAAAACTTTCCAAACAAAGAAGGAGCACGACAATCCACGCTTGGAAACTTTGCCAGAGATGACAATCCAATCTTGGAAAAATTGTCGTTGAAGAAGATGCACGACAATCCATTTTTGGAAATATTGTCAGTTGGGGATGACAATCCAATTTTTGGAAAAATTGTCGTTTAAGTGCTTGCTTTTGAACCGATGCTTTGGTGCTTGTAATGAGCTAATACTTAGGCGCTTAAGCTAAGTGAGACAATCTTTCATCAGGTCAATCACTTATTGCGATTGTAATCAAACTGACTACTTAATCATGTCAAATTGCTTATAGGGGCTAACTGGCGTACCAAGGAACCCGGAATTGCTGTATGAGGTCGAAATCAGCTTTCCGAGAGGCTTCGAGCTCTGTCGTTGCTGAAATATCTCTAGCCCCAAGAATTGACTCTGTCGCCAAACGTTGTGAAAGGGTCTTCCTTGTTCTGATGCACCTGTATTTATTTGACTATAGAACTTTGCCAATCTTTTTAATCATCTTAGGGTTGATGTAAGGCTTATCATTGCTTGACTCATCAACTTGACACGACTCAAGGTATAAACTTGACTCGATATGATTGACTGACTCGAGGTTGATTCGACTCGATGTGAAATGACACATGTGTTAGACTCATATCAAAGTGATATGACACGACATGACTCAATGTGTACATGACTTGTGTGTGCATTGTGTTGCAAAAAGCAAAAATTTTCCGTCATTTTTTTGGAGGGTACCGACTTTCTCCCGAAGAAGAAAGACGTGAAAAAGAAGAAGCGAAGTTTTCGAATGCATGTTGAATGAGCTTAGTCAAATGTCATTTGATACTATCTTTCAAGGTGCAAGGACTAACCCATCATAGGCTATCTCAATTGTTGACTCAATGATGAAGGTATTTGGGTAACTTAGGCATGGAGGCTAAGCACTTCATACTTCGTGATGCAATGATGATTATGATTAATGAGTGATTTGATATGACATGGCAAGCTTCAGCGTTATGTTAAGATTTCATGACAAAGGGTTCCTAAAGGGAAGTATATTTGGTCATGTATCTGTGCAGTGTGTGAAAGTGACACTAAAGCTAGACCACAAGAGCTAAGTGTGGAAAGATATATTGAAAAGAGTCAAACGATGGTGACTCTTAAGCTAGGTAAGCTAATGATATAAGGATCAAGCCCCCAAGTCTAGCTCTAAGTGAATATGGATGAGCATAGGGAACCCTTGATATGATCATGGTGCAAGTGTGTGAATGTGAATATGAATGCATGTTTATTACAGCCGCACCTCGATGTGAGGTTGCCTACGTATTCGTTAGGAATCAAGCCGAACGTAGTTCTAGCCGAACCTCACACGAGTGTGTGTATAACTCAAAAAGGTCTTTTAAGGGTTGTAACGTGGTTAGGCTAAAGGTTATAGAAAAAAGGGATAAAGGCTCAAGACCCTAGATAAGCCCCCAAGGTGTGCAACCTTGCTTTTGAATATTTGTATTTTCATGCTTGAGTTTCTACTCTTTTTTAGCTCTTTTTCCTTTAGCAGTTATTTTATTTTAATAAGTGTGGGCAATCCCGATCATGCGGTCTATCACTCACTTGGCATTCATGTTTCTCAGGCACGGTATCGAGCACTCGATAAGAGACGCAATCTGAGACATACTCTTATCAAAGATATT